TTTTATTTAAAAAAATTAATTTTTGTGTTTTTAATTTATTAATCTTTTTTCAAATGAATTAATTAGTTTTTTTTTCATTCATTTATAAGGTACTTCTGCAGTGAAGGTAAATCAGAAGAGGCTGACCTATGGCATTATGCTCTTTCCATACCTATTTATACGCATTTCACAAGTCCTATACGACGTTACCCGGATATCCTAGTTCACAGGTATGGTATTGAAAAGTGATTTTTAATTATTTTTATGCATTTTTCTTTGATTCACATTTTGTTTCAGGGTCCTAGCTGCTGCCTTAGACTACTGTCCACCACCCAAACGTAGCCCTGACGAATTGCATATGCTTGCCAAAATTTGCAATGACCAAAAGTACAATGCTAAAAATGCCGGAGACGAGTCCATAAATCTTTTCTTTAAACGTTATATTAAGGAAAAACAATCAATTACTATGCGCGCTGTTGTAACAGAAATTTTCCAACATCTGTTAAATGTGGTCACGATTGAAACTGGCCACTCGATCAGCATTAATTTTAAAATGCAAAAAGTGTTGGTGGACACCTCAAACGCCCCGGCTTATGTGCTCATTGCCGAGCGCAATTCGAAGACTCCACCAGTAAAGTTGCAATTGTTCTCTACCATCGATGTGAAGTTAGTAATTTGGGATGATAAAGTTTGTGGCTTCTTTGTCTCTCCAGATCCTCAGCAACGGCAAATTAACAGTATACAATTGTCAAAGAAAAAACAACAACAATCGACTAGTAGTGCAAATAATTCTACGAGTGAAAATAGTGGCGTGCGTAAATAGCGAAATACATCACAGCGCTCACAGCAAGAATTGGATGAAAACTAGTCGCAACAACAACAAACAATATCGGCAAACGCATAATCGAAGCCAAAGCAAACTAGTAACAACACGAAGAAGAATGACAAACGCGTTTAAACAAGTCCATTTTTAAAAAGACGATAATTTTAGATAACTCACATACATACATACATAATAGTTTGTTTCTAAAACGATTTCTGTTATTCTAATGGAATTTATTTAATTAAATTTAAGTATTGCTTGTAATTGTACGTAAAACGGATTTATGATTAATTTACTTAAAATATACCTCATTAGCTCATCTTATAGTGACGATAGTGTGTTCTTTTTCTTTAACTCACTTTAAAAGTACAAATTTCATTTAAAGGCAAACTCTTATGTAAATACATATATGAACCTAAAAGAAATCGAACTTTTTTAAACGAACTTCCTGTGCAATTTAAAAGAGCTACGAGTTTTAGAGGAATGCGAAGCATACGCACAAACATATTTTCCGAAAAAATGCTCATAATGACCAAAAATCGTATATAGTTTAAGTGAGAAAATATAAGGTATGTGATCTTGCTATAATAGAACATTATGAAAGCATAAATGCTTGTATCTATATTTTAAGCTATTTTATATAGTTTAACGGTTATTTAAAAATAAATGCAACTTGAGAAGCTGAAATAAAAGAACAGAAAAAAAATGGTATTTTATATCTTTCATTAATTTATATCGGTTAATTGAAAAGTTTGTTAAGAAGGCAAGCGAAAAATTCGTCTACTATCACTATCAACCTCATTTTAAGTCAGAAAAAATGTTCTTGTGGATTTTCTAGTTTCTTTTCACCCGCAGCAAATCATTTTGGACTTTTTTGTACGCTGATTTCATCAAACTTCGTGCTCATATGACCCAATAACACTTAATTTTTTGAATCACCAAAACTTTTGTATTAATATACATACAAAAATAAACGCATATCGTATTAAATTTTTGCGGCGCCCTCTTATAGAAAAGTTACGAAATTTCTAAAGCACAAACCTCCAAGAAATCGTGCGGCAAAATTAATAGTTCTTATTGTTGCTTAATTACCTTTAAATTTGTGTTTAATGAGATTTGTTGTTATAGCTTAAGTTATAATTATTTTGTCATTTTTTATAAGTGGAAATATGCTCACTAAAGTGATTGTACATACAATATACATATAAATTATATTATATAATTCCCGTTCATACGGGAATCACCATGATATTTTTAAAGGGAAAACACTCTCAATTAGAATTCGCACTAAGATAACTCATTTTTATAGGAAATTTAGATTTTTTTAGGTAAATATTGATCGTGTTCATTTAATACCGTCCCCACGAGAGTGGGGTCTAAGTAACCGGAACGGACCTGGATATGTAGGCGATAGTGTCCGCGTAAACCTTTCCAATGTATTTGAGTCTCGGTAGTCCGAATATACATAAAATATGTACATATTTATGTCGAGGTAATAAATTATTAAAATTAAAAGAAATTTAGGATTGGATAGGATCTCTTAGAGCCATTTTGCTTCCTGCCAGACAGTATGGATACGCATTTAATGTAAATGTGACACTGTGGTGGTAATTAATGATAACACTCAATATCTAGGGGCATCGAAGCAGCACTTAAAAATTGTCGGCGAGTACCCGAATGCGATTAACGGCTTATGTTTTTACACTCACCAATACCTTTTCAATTTCTTCACCTTATTCCTTTTCAATTAATCTTTGCGCAGTTAAGTAGGAATAAAAACGAGTTTACATGTACCTTGGGGATTTTTTCATCTCACGGAAAGTAGAAATGTGTGTAGGTTTGTACATTGCTAAACTGCAAACATTCAAAAGCAGAAAGCAACGAAGTTAAAAAACTTCTGAGCTTAATATGCGAATATTGCAAGTCGTTCGTTCGCTATTTTTTCATGGGTAAAAATATATGTACATATGTACAGATGTAATCATTTATCGGACACTCTTCAAAAGATGCAATTCAAAATGCAATTTAAAATATTAAACAAAACATTATTCACCATATCTAATAACAAAAGCAAACATTTGTGCGACCAATGATTCAACAAGTTATCATTAGCTTTGGCTTCAAAACGAGAATTTAAACAAGAAAAAACGCTGCACCGAAGTTAATATACCCTTCACATGTGCATTTCTTTTGATAACTATGTGTCCAGTTTGTATGTGCTATAGTAATTCGATCAGAACAATTTGTCAAATTTCGTGACGATACCACGTCAAATGCGAATGTTTTCCATACAAGCCCTTGATTCCGATCGTCCGGTTTGTATGCAAACTATATGCTATAGTGAGCCGATCTGAACAATTTCTTCCAAAATTAAATTATTTCTATAAAAAATAACTCATACCAAATTTCGTGAAGATATGTCGTCAAATGAGGAAGTTTTCCATATAAGAACTTGATTTCGATCGTTCAGATTGCATGGCAGCTATCTGTAGTAGAGGTCCGATATCGGCAGTTCCGACAAATGAGCAGCTTCTTGAAGAGAAAATGACGTTTACAAAATTTCAAAACGATATCTTAAAAACTGAGGGACTAGTTCATATATATACAGACAGACAGACGGACATGGTTAAATCGATTCAGCTCAACATACTGATCATTTATATGTATATGTATGTATATACTTTATAGGGTCTCCGACGCTTCCTTCTGGGTGTTACAAACTTCGTGACAAACTTAATTCACCCTGTTCAGGGTATAAAAATCCTTGTAGAAACATATGTATGAGTACATATGTATGTATGTAATACTTAAATAAAATTATAGCACATACAGTTACTGACTAGATTGTAATAGCAAAGTTTGTGTAGCCTCTTCGATTGCTTATCGATCTTCTAAAGTTCTAAGTATAAAACTTGTATAAGAGAGAAGTCGAACTGCGATTTAGGTATGTGCGTATGTATGTATTTCTTAGCCAAGAGTAGGCTGGAGAGCATTGTGGCAAAGTAAAATCAACATTGATACAATATACGTACGTACGTCAATATGAATATGTGAACATAATGTGGACACTTGTAGTTTGAATGTACATACATTACATGTGTATGTATGTATGTATGCATGCATGTAGGAGTTTGAGCTGAGTAATGGGGTTTTGCTTGATCTTCCCAATGACGCTGCGTATAAAACCGGCAGTGAAATATAATTTACGGTAAGTTAATCGCAGAAGGTTGCCGGGGAATAACGCACGCTCTTCACTAATATACGCGCGCTCAGATTTATTTGCATACGAAATTCCGAAATTAGACGGAGATAAACATGAATTCGAAATTAGTTTTATTGTGTATTTGTGGTATGTTTTTTGTTTGTTGTATTTTTTCCTAACGTAATAAAGAACAAAGACTTTTTCCTCATGTTAAATATTAAAAATTTGCTTTCTCCGTTTTTTTTTAGTGCAAATGTGCGCGCTGGCATGTGGGCGTCCCCAACAGCGGCAGTGGCAGGGTCCAATTTTTTCGAATCCATTTTTGCCTGATCGCCCTGGTAAGCGCCTATTTGATTATTATTACTAACAAAAAACAATATCTAAAATGGAATTCTCCTTTGGATCACTTGGCTTAGGTGCCGGCACTACGACTACCACTCCTGCACCGCCCGCCTCGTCGACAACAGTGCCCTCGCCTCGCTATCTAGCCTGTTTGAGCGCCTGTCCCAGCACCATGGAATACAATCCTGTTTGCGGCAGCGACAGTCAGAATTATCACAACCATGCTCGTCTGGACTGCGCCGCTCGTTGCGGTCAAGGTTGGTATTAAAGGCTGGTGACAGTGCTGAATGCTTTTGCCTTCACTTTGTTGCTCAAGTACCCACTCAATTTGCTTTTCATCCTTTCAGATGTTGTTTTTGTACGCATGGGCACCTGTAAAGGATTATAAAGTGCTGACAGCGTGTTTTTAACGAACATAAATCGCATCCGGGAAGTTAAAAAAATTTATATTGGCAACCAAATCTAAAATAATGTTAAATTAAAAAAGGCCTCCTCTGCCATATACATACACATGTTATATTAAGTTAGCGACTTTAACTAATTTTATGGAATTGATAACTAATGTTCTTCCAATGGAATAAATAAACAAATAAAATCATTATTTATACAAAAACATACATATACACTCATGTGTTAGAATATCGGCAATTATGGGAAGACGTCCATTATCAAAGGTTATCGGTTGCTGTTTGACTCAAAATAAGTCTGAACTAAAGCGCTGCCTTTTTTTCGTCAATCAAAGCCCGCGAGCCTTTTAGCAGAGAGAATTGCTTAAAATTTGTGTACAAACACATACAGTGGTGGTCTAATAATTAGAAACGACTTTGCTGCAGATAGTTTTCTTAACTTATTTTAAAAATTTAGATTTCCACGTTAAAACTGTAAATTGGAATCAACAAGGTAACACATTTTATTTGAGTTTCACATAAAAACAACAACAATATTAATTATATTTTGAAGAAAATGAGGTAAACACAAAGAACACCAAATTCAGGTTGGTCATATAATTAGGAACGACAGTAACAACTTAGATATACTTATATAAAATTGAAAAAATTGATCAAATGTTTTAGTATTTTGTTGAATACCCCTTATTTTTAACAACATTGTCTAGCTTTCGCGATAAACTTTGGATTAATTGTTGACATGTTTGCACTGAGATGCTATTCCAACTTTGTTGAACCATTTGAGGCAACTCAAGTGAAGTTCAAAAAAACCCGAGAATCAAAAAAAAAAAGAAGAACTGTCCGTTTCTAATGCCTGGCCAACCAAGAAACACAAACCGGGAAATAATTTTAATTCTTTCAATAACCAATCAGCTAATAGTTACGTGTTTATTTAACAATAACTTTCATAGTCTACACTACGAATAACGGGACTTATAATTTACAGTGCGCGTCTTAAAAAAGGTATACAGCGATTTGATTTTGTCTGGCAAATCGTTTCTAATTATAACGCCAAAACTATATGTAATATCGGTGTTTGGTAACTTTAGAAACATGGACGAAGGTATATACTAACGTTTCTATCAAATGAAGATCCTTTATATATTATCCCTAAGGTTTAGGACTTTAAAAATATAAAAATTTTAAATATTCCTATTGAACAATTTGAGTAGAATGGAAATAATTCTCAAGTTTGGAAGAAGATATATATACCGAGTTTGTCAAGAAGATTTTATCACCCAGAAGAAAATGTGGAAGTGCCTATAAAGAATATACTACTGTGATCAAATCGAAGGGTGCATTTTGTCCATTTCATCTCCTTCAAAGTAAGCCCCTCCCGTTGCAATACACTTATGCCAACGAATTTTCCAGCCATAGCACTAGGGAAAATCCTCCGCCGTGATGGCCATCAGAGCCTACTTTGATGCAGCATTTATATTCAAAACGGTGTCCTCGGAGTGGTCATGTGAATTTGCTGAATAGCCAAAAGTTACACGAATGATCACGAATAACTAATGTACTATGAGATGCACCATCGCACTTCTTTGTTCAATAAATTCAGACAGTAAAAATCGAAGAATTCACTTTTGGAGCCTCACAAAACGACGCGTATCTCAAATAGTAATGAATATTTTGACGTGAAATTTAGCATAAATGTCACTAACAGTACTACCAACTTACAAAAACAGATTCGAAGTAGTATGTATGTATATGAACCTCTTGAGGTTTACACAGTTTTGCCGATTGGTTATCGGTAATTTTCATTCAGGTTTGATGACCCATACTAACAAAACCGAAAAAAAAAAACGAACGAGCCAGCTAGACAATTGCCTCATATTGTAAGATCAGCACAAATGACTCATATTTTGGAATTGTTTTATGGATATTTGATTGTTTTGAGCGCTCTTGACATGAGCAATCTAAAAGGTTAACTCAGAGCTCATAACATCACATCCGAATGAGTGCAAATAAGATCAGTAGAGAAGCATATGAATCTATAAAAAGACCTACAAACATTCGAACATAACTACGCAAATGTGTCTGCATACAAACATACATTTCTGTAAGTATATTTACAAGCGAGTATCTGCAAAAGAATTATAATTTTATGCAACTCAGTGGATTCGGAAGATCAGTAGAGAATCGACATTTGGAGAGAAAAGACGCTATTAACACGAAAGCACTACACAAGTAAACAAATAAGTTACTGTGAAAACAACTACTACTGAATATATTATAAAATAAGTGTGCCAATTAAGATATTCAACAAATTTACCGGAGTAATTGAAAACATGAAAACTTTAAGGAATACTTTCGTGCTTTGTAAGTTTTGCTTCCAAATTTGTTCAAATCCAGCAATTAACAATAGTTTTATTACTTTTTTTTCAAAATTTTTTTCAAACGAGATCAGCCGCGATAATAGTTAGCTGTGCAACATTTGTTGCTGCTTTGCCCCGACCAGCTAACGATCCCAACGCCGAGTATGAATTGATAAGGGGTGGCGCCCAGGTTGGTCCGAAGCCCACATTTGTGCCGGTCACGCGAAAACCACTGATAATAAACACCCCACCGCCGACTCCAGCCAACTCGAAGAACTTCGCCTTTGACCCGATCACCAAAACTTGGACTCTAGTGAAGAAGGACGCTCCCATACCATCAGAAGACACACTCATATGGAACCAAAGCAACGACAAATGGCTGACCGAAACAGCCAGGCGCGTCTAATGATGTCAACGACATTTATGGATGATTAAAAGTAATTGTCGAAGCAAATGCAATTGTTTTTATTTTTAAGATCATATGCAAATGTGGACTAATGACAATGGTTAACTGTTTTAATTGATCACTTCACAAACACACATATGTATACATTTGTATTTGTTAATAATTTTATTATTGTAAATTTGTTTTATCAGAAAAAAAATCATTGCACTTTTTATATCGATTCGTAAGTATGTAGACATTTAACACAGTTTATTGGGTTGAAATTAAATTTCCGCTTTTCTCTTACAAAAATAAAAGTATTATGAAAAATATATTAAAACATTTCTTAATAATCATTTCGTAAAGAAAAAATCTCCAACCATGTGGATCAACCTTGAAAGGATGCTTTCTGCTCGAGATGAATTTTTATGCGACACATTTCTTCGGCTGTGAAATTTAGTTTCTTGCTTGCACTGTCCGCAAAACTGTCCAATTTTTGGCCGATCGCACGTAATTGCTCGCGCAACGCCATCACTTCGCCGCGCACGTCCGAAATGCCATTGACCTGGCTCTTAAGCTTTACGGCCACATCGCTTTCGGCCATTAACTGATCGTGCACATTGGTAGCCGAACGCGGTCGTAACAAGCAGTCGTTTTCGCGTACCGTAATCGTAACGTGTGGTTCCTTTAAATCATTAATGGATTTTTTATTATTTACATTGTTGTTTTTCGATACGAACTTCGGTGAGGTTTTATCAGCCGATGGCCCAACTGGTATGGCAGTGCAACGTTTTTTTTCTTCATACTGTCGCTGTAAGCTCTGATTGAACATGTTGTAATTGCTTTCGAGTTTTCGCCGACGTAAACTCAAATTGCGATCGCGTCGCTCAGCCACCAGTTTGTAAATATTCAACTTGATGTCCTCGGGTAACTGATTGTCACGCGGATCATTTGGCCGAGTCACGAACTGCAATTTGTTGCGTGAAGTGCGTAATAGGGCGCTACGCTTGCAGAGTTGCATTAATTTTACTGGTGCTCGGCGCAGTAAGCGTGAGAAGAATAAGCTTTCTAGTCGTGAAATTAGCTCTGCTTGACGCACCAAACGATCTAGGGTGGCCGATACTTGTAGACCCTGAATATCGCTGACAGCCAAACCCACCATAAGGTTAGTGAGTATGACCGTCACGAGCAATACAAAGCAGAGAAACAAAATATGAGAGGTAACTGGAAATTTAACGGGTATATCACCGTAAAATATATCCTCAAATTCCAGTTCACCGGACATCATTGTGATGGCTTTGAGCAGCGACCTAAAGCAGTATGATATATGTATGTATTTATAAAGTATTTAATTCTCAATCAACATTATTATCTGTACTTACCATGTGATATTCTCAAATGGTGGATAGTCGTTGAATAGCACCGAGAAGCTGAGGCAGAAAGCAATCAATAAACAGATGTAGGCCAAAAGGAATTTGCAAAAGTTGCCGGCAACTGTAAAATATTGTGAAAACCCGTTAGGTGATTAAGTATTATTTGTGAAATAAGGTATCCTAGATGTGCTTATAAAATCATGATCAAATCTTGAAAGTAAAAGAGCACTAATATTCTTTAGTTAATATTCGAAGTTGGCCTTTTTTCTACCTTTCTCTTTACCTTTTGTGAACATTTGCACATAAACGCCGAATATGGGGAAGCGTCCTACCAGCATCATTAGCTCCAGCCAAACTAAATACACTACAATAGCCGCCACGTGATGTTGCCAAGGGGGCACCGCCAACAAATTTGTGGGTATCAGAATCTCTGGTGTCTAAAAGTAAGCACGATCACACAACAAAATCAAAAATTTAACGGTCATGAGCGCTTATCTACCACACACAGCAAGACACCAAAAACGATGGCCCACTGTAGCCAATTTTCCCAGTACTTCGCATAGCCTTGTAAGCCGTGCGCCATCTACAATCAAGCGATAAAAGTTAAACTCACACGCTTCAGTATAAATTAGTATACAGTGCTATATAAGCAGGAATATTTACCTGAAAGATCTCTTTACCCATCAATATTAAATTCAGTATTATAACGAAATAGCCCACGGTACTTATGTACGCGGGCGCTTCACACTTCGGATTCTTATCACAGTTGCGTGCATATACACCGACGATGTACATTGTGAATAGGAAGACATAGATTGCATGATAAAGTAGACTCATCAGAAAGAATTTTCGTATGCGGCGCCATTTTAGAAAGAGAAAAGTCTCGCACAATGGATGCATCAATAAACGCTTCTGGCCGACTTCGATTAACGACAGAAGCAATTCAGTCTCTCCACGTTCAAATGATGTTGGCGGCACCAACAGACGAAAATCCAATTTGATTTCACAGTCTACGTCACCGATTTCGTGGTCATTTACCTTAATTGAACTATCCATTTTGGCCGTAAGTTTCGGTATAATCTCAGGTGTACGGCG